CTAGATCAACTTGAAGTGATAGTGAGTCCTCCTCCGAATTAATTTCCCTACCGATTTTCGTATCATCGGCAAATTTGCAAATGTTGCTACTCAAACCTGAATCTAAATCATTTATATATATTATAAACAACAGAGGTCCCAGGACAGAGCCTTGAGGCACTCCACTTACAACATTTTCCCACTCTGACTTGATTCCATTTATACTAACTCTGTTTCCTTTGGTATAGCCATGCCCTAATCCAGCTTAATATAGCACCCCCAATACCATGAGACTCTATTTTTTTAATCAGTCTTTCATGTGGCACTGTATCAAAAGCTTTGCTAAAGTCAAGGTATACAACATCGCAATCCTTACCACTATCAACTGCCTCAACAATGCTAGAATAAAAAGATAACAAATTTGTTAAACATGAACGGCCATTTATAAAACCATGTTGCGACTCAATTATTAATTTATGTTTTTCAAGATGAAGACGAATTTTATTTGCTATTATGGATTCGAGTAACTTTCCCACAATAGACGTTAGGCTAATTGGTCGATAGTTAGACGCAAGTGATCTATCTCCTTTCTTAAAAACTGGTATCACATTAGCAACTTTCCAAAACTCTGGCACTCTGCCTGACTCTATTGATTTATTAAATATGGTTGACAGTGGGTCACAAAGCTCCTCTTTGCATTCTTTAAGCACCCTGGCAAACACTTCATCCGGCCCTGGGGATTTGTTTGGTTTGAGTTTTTCTATTTGTTTAAGAACATCCTCCCTGGTAACTGTCTAAACTCTGTCAACCTGTCCTCCATGCCCTAATACAAGTTAATATAGCACCCACCCACATAGACTTGTTCGGCTGAAGGCATATTGTTAAGTTCGACTCTTTAGTAAATACAGATAAGTAACTTTCCCAAATATTATTTGGCCGATTAAAATCTATACTACTCCTTCCATCTCTGGCGCTCTGCCTGACTCATTATCAGTGTTATTTGACCTGTCTCAGTTTTTAATGGACCTATCCTTTCCCTAGTCTTAGTTAAGTTCGATATAACTGAAAAAATTTTAATGGACCCCTTTAGGATTTGAAAAAACCCTTTAGGATTTGACTTTGCTTGCTCTGCTATGCGAACTTCATAGTTTCTTTTTGCTTTCCTAATCTCTCTTTTAACATTTCTAACCAGTTGTATGAATTCCTGTTCTAACCTGACTTCCCCATTCTTAATCCTTTTGTACTAAGCTCTCTTTTTACCTATAAGGTTCTTTAAATTATTTGTTATCCACTTTGGGTCATTAGTATTCGACCTATTCAATTTGTATGGTATACTACGTTCCTGGGCTTTGTTTAGAATATTCTTAAATAAATTATATATTAAATCCACATCGAAATCCCCTTTTACGTCACCTATCGCTGGGTTCATGTCTCACTCTAAGACCGGCCCACACCCCATACCCAAGAGTTTCCAATCTATTTGACCCAAAAAATTTCTTAGGCTATTAAAATCAGCTTTTCGAAAATCTGGCACTTTAACAGAATTTTCTCCTACAGGTCTATTCCATTCTATGCTAAATCTGATTACTTTGTGATCACTGTTCCCTAGCTCACTCCCTATTTCGATGTCATTAATTTGTGTTTCCCTGTTAGTTAACACTAAATCTAAAATATTATTTTCCCGCGTTGGTTCCTTAACGTGTTGCGTAAGAAAGCAATCGTCAATTAATTCTAGAAAATCTTCTGCTTCACTATTCCCTGTTTTGTTCACCTAGTTTATTCCACTAAAATTAAAGTCACCCATGACATAAATACTGTTAGATCTAGATGCTCTAGATATTTCATTCCATTGATGCTTTGCTTCCATTCTGTCTAAGTTTGGTGGCCTATATATAACTCCTATTATAATATTATTTGCTTTTTCGTTTAATTCTATCCAAATAGTTTGTGTGGCTCAGTTTTGATTCCCTCTTTGAGCCTATATTTCAAATTGTCCCTAACATATATGGCTACTCCACATCCTCGTCTAATATATCTGTGTGAAATAGTTTAAATCCATTTATTTGATATTCAGCTAATAGTTCCTTCTTTTCTACATTCATCCACGTTGCGGTAAGTGCAATAATATCTATTTTTTCTCTACAGACAGGGGCATTTATCTCGTTTATTTTGTTTCTTAGACTTGTACTGTTAGTGTAATATACCATAAGTGAATTGTTATTTTGAGGCCCTTTTCTTTCCCTGATCATTTTGCCAATTCTTTTCTCCCACGAACACATACTTTTATTACCTCCTTCCTCCAAATCAATTCCTGTACCACTATCTACTAACAGTTTAAACCCAAACAAACACCTCTAACCACTGGTTCCAACGAGTTCGCAACAGCAACAACTCCAGCCCTCGATAGATGCACCCCATCACGTGCATACATTTCATTTCTTCCATAGAAGCGTTCCCAGTTGTCTATGAAAGATATTGCATTTGATTTGCAATATCTTTCCAGCCGGCAATTGACAGCAAGTGTCCTTGACATCCATTCATTTCCCACTCCCTTTCTTGGAAGAATGCCACATATGATCGGGATTCCTCCCTTGCTCCTAACTAATTCAATGGCTGTCCTAAATCTCTGTATTAGTTCCTCACTCCTAACTCGCCCAACATCATTACCGCCTGCACTAATACAAATAATGGGTTTGTTCCCATTTCCCGTCATAATATCATTCATGTTTTCAACAATATCACCAATTCCAGCTTCCGGATAGCAAACCCTTAATCTGTTCCCCCTATCTCTGGCACAAAACGTTCTGTCTAAATACCTCACCTGGGAATCTCCCACAACCAAAATTCGCTTCGGTACTGCCCTAACTTTCTGAGCAGCCTGAGGGGCCTGCGCTCCTCCGTTCCTCGCTGATTTCCTCGCTGCAGGCGCACTACAGCACTCTTCCTCCAACACGGCAAATGAATTTGCCGTCCTTACGGCGTCTGTAGGCGGCCTTGTCAAGGTCTTCTTAAGACCCCTGTCTTTCCCTACTCTCCACGATGAGGTCTCGTCAACACTGGTCTCCTCCTTCGTTTCCTCTCGAAGTCTCAGCCGTCGTACCTCCTCCCGCAGGGAATCCATCTCTGCTCTCAGAGCTCCAACCAAACTCACCAAATCATTAACTAAACCTTCCTTTTGTTATTAAAAAATAACATTTGCAATTATCGATTCAAGTAACTTTCTCACAATAGACGTTAGGCTAATTGGCCGATAGTTTGATGCAAGTGATCTATCTCCTTTCTTAAAACTTGGTACCACATTAGCAAGCTTCCACGAGTCTGGCACTCTGCTTGACTCTAATGATTTATTAAATATGGCAGACAATGGATCGCAAAGCTCCTCGTTGCATTCTTTAAGCATCCTGGCAAACACTTCATCTGGGCCTGGGGATTTGTTTGGTTTGAGTTTTATTATTTAATATCATCCCTGATAACTGTTAGACTAGTAAACCTGTCCTCGTCCACACCCACATAGGCTTGTTCGGCTGAAGGCATAGTTAAGTTCTTCTTTAGTAAATACAGAGAAAATATTAAAATTACTACTCATCTCCGTCCTTATTTGTTATCTGACCTGTCTAGGATTTTAATGGACCTATCCTTTCCCCTAACCTTTGTTCGATATAACTGAAAAAAACCTTTAGGATTTGCTTTTGCTTGGCCTGCTATACGAACTTCATAGTTTCTTTTTGCTCTCCTTATCTCTTTTAACATTTCTAACAAGTTGTGCGAATTCTTGTTATAACCCGACTTCCCCATTCTTAATCCTTTTGTACCAAGCTCTGTCTACCTATAAGGATTTTCAGATCCTTTGTTATCCATTTCGGGTCATTTGTATTTGATCCATTCAATTTGTAAGATGGGTATGGATTGGGGGGGGAGAGGGGGAAGGATGAAGAGTACTTTCCTGTGCTTTACTTAAAATATTTGTAAATAAGTTATATTTTGAATCGAAATCCTCCTTCACATCACACATCGCAGGGTTCACGTCTTGCTCCTAGACCGCTCCCCCCTATGCCTAAGACTTTCCAATCTATTTGCCTTAAAAAATTTCGTAGGATATTGAAATTAGCTTTACGAAAATCTGGCAACAGAATTTTCTCCTGCAGATCTATTCCACTCAATGTTAAATCTAACTTCTTTGTGATCACTGTTCCCTAATTCACTCCTGATTTCGATATCATTAATATGTTTCCCTGTTAGTTTACACTAAATCTAAAATATTATGTTGCTGCGTTGGTTCCTTAATGTGTTGCGTAAGAAAGCAATCGTCAATCAATTCAATAAATTCTTCTGCTTCGTTATTCCCCGTTCTGTTAATACAGTTCATTCCACTAAAATTAGTCACCCATGACACAAATACTATTAGATCTAGATGTTCTAGATATTTCATCCCATAGATGCTTTGTTTCCATTGTCTAAATTTGGTGGCCTATATATCTCCTATTATAAGATTATTTGCTTTTTCGTTTAATTCTATCCAAATAGTTTTTGTGTGTGGCTCAGTTTTGATTCCCTCTTTGAGACTACATTTCAAATTGTCCCTAACATATATGGTTACTCCCCCTCCAAATTTTGGTACCTTCAAGAGAGCATCCCAGTGTATGTAACCTTGCGAGTGTCAATAATGTTCACTGTTGCTTCTCTCAACTCCGTGAGGCAATTTATATGTTAACCCGACTCGGTTAACATATAAATTTTAAGATAACAATAGAACATTAAAGTTTGAATACGTATTTTTGCTTACAGTTGTTTAGTTTGCACCTGTGTGGTGAGATTAAGAATAATTTACTAAACGCATTTCTTGTTTGACTGAAATGTGCAATTTTTTTCCTAAAATTTATTGCTTAAAAATACAATTCATTACTAACAATTTTCAGGTGTGTCAAACTTTCTGCCCCTTTGCCAAGCTATTCTCTTTACAGCCAGTTGTGGTGCTCCAGCTTACGGTGCTTCCCTAGTTTATTTAGTAGCTCATCAAAAAGCTATTCCAGGTATTCATCTTCCTCCTCAATCAAATATTCTTCAATATTTTCCCACAGACAAATCATAATCTTCTTCCACCAAATCAGTGTAATTGTGTCAAAATCTTTGCCACCAAATTCACTGTTCCTGTCCTTTGATGTATCTGGAAACATGTAGACCCAACTACACGTGCACACACGTGCACACGCACACGCGTGCACAGATAGAGAGATAGATAGATTCCCATCAACATACACGTCTTCTCCATCGTCGTATTTCATTCCATCTAACAAGCATAATTTATGAGCAGGCCGAAAGTCTGGGTTCAGCATTCTTGTAAACTCTTCAAAATCTAGCGTCAAGTCATGATTGTTGTCTGCTACATCTACTATAGCATCTATACACAGTGCCCTTGTCAGTACATTTTCCTGCTCAGAATGGGCCAAGAAGAACGAACCAGAGGTGCAATTAAGTAATTCATCGGAGTTGACATAATTGTCCTTGTCTGCATCACATCTTAAGAATTGACCACACATTGACACTCTACACATCATGTCAGAAACGTGCCATGGCTGGTTAGAAAAGGTGTCCTGCCTGTGCTTCCCCACCACAATCAGAAGAGCACACTGGCTACTGTAGCACACGACTGGTTTCTTTTTTCTCTGGCTGCTTTTACCTCTTCTTCTTGCACAGACCTTTGTGAACAACTTTGATGTGCTTCCTGATAAACAGGCGAGGCGATAGAAGGGACAGTGGTTGTCATAAGAGAAGCCATCAGAGCCACACACGGGGGCAAAGCGGTCAGGACATAATTCAATGCACTGGCAGAGGGCAGCACTTTCTTTTTGTCCCCCTTTGCTCCCCTTGCCACTCTGGGGGGGGGGGGGGGGGGGGAAGGGTGTTGATCTAGCTATGGAGCCCAGCGACCCAGCCGCCACAAGGCATGGGCCGCATAGGCCCCACAACAGTAACCCTAAAAAACACATTACAACTAAAATAAAATAAAATTCATGCTGTGGCCTACAATGTACAAAACAAAACAAAAAATATAAATAAATATACATAGAGATACATAAAAAAAGGATATACATTAAAATTTAATTTGAAACAAAATAAGAGGCATGCCACTAAATGAATAAAGTCTCCGACAGGAGACGATCACCTTCAATGTCATGCATGTATGGAAAAAATACACATCACGGGGAGGGCATGCCTGGCTTGAACAAGTCAAGCCCCCAGAGAGGCAAGGACACATGCAAGGCATGCATGTGTCCTTCCAGCCGTAGCTTATCTCACGGGTTCGGTCAAGCCACGCACAATCCCTAAAATCAGCCACTGGGGAAGTGGTACCCCAAGATGACGTCCGGTAACCTTAGCCGGAATCCACTCACCCTAGTCGCTTCTGGGTGTCGGGGCACAAGGGAAGTCCACCCATGCCCATGTCCAGGGGTGATCATTATCATCCCCTTCCCGTGCTCTTGGACCACATACGATAAATCGAGTACGTCCAGGTTAGGGCTTTGACGGAGCAGATCTCCAAATCTCCGTTAGTCAAGCCCAACCTCTTAAGTACACGGGCACTCTCATTGCTGAACCCACCTCTCTAATTCAAGGTAATTGAGGAGGCAGAGGTTGCATTAGTACCGGTGTAATCCCTGACTGAAGGATCTCGGGGGTGCCGAACCAGTCACATTTGCTCTGGTGTGGCCGGGAGATTGGAAAGCCGTCAGCCGAGACCTGGGTGTCTAGAACTACCGCCTCGCTGCTTTTGCAAGCAATGATGTCTGGCTTGGAAAAGGTCCCACCATCGGGTATCCGCACCTCTCTCACCCCCTCATACCCTCGCTGTCTCAGATGACCAGCTACGAACTGGGTGATATCGTCATGATGTACCACCTGTGCTTCATGCGTCCTTGGGCATGCTTGTAAGATGTTCCCAAGGGTTCCTGCATGCATCACACATGCCGCTGGCACCTGGGCGACCCCTAGCGGCTCTTGACGGCGTGGCCAAGCGTTAGCTCTCACTTGGACAGCGTGAGCAAACTCGCCACCGCTCAGTAGGCGGGTGCCGGACGAGATCCATCTCATGCACGAGGACCTCAGTCCAGCATCATCGGCCGTGCGGTAAAGCCGCTCCCGCCATGTCAGAGAGCACTCGGCTCTGTTGGTTACCGGGTCACCCCCAATTAAGGCCGGTGCCAATCCACCGACGCATCTTTTCCTGAATAGCCGGTAGAAGGGCCACTGCCCGAACCGTTGGGTCAGCCGACTCCAACAGACTGCCAAAACGCTTGTTCTTGTGCAGCCGGATTGACGAAACAAATTCGGGCATCCCAAGACCACCGTCCTTTCAGTCAGCGTAGAAGAATGCATTTGGGATGTCGTGCGGAAGACGGAGCCAGCTGCGAATAGCCTGCCTCATCCTCCGGTCGATTCTAGCTAGCCGAGTCTTAAACACCGTACCTAGAATCAGACGATGGTTCATTTTAGGAATAAGGTGGTGCTTCAGCACGTATAACTTCTGCTGGGGTTTGAGGGGGGGCCTGCGTGATGTTAATAATCCCCTCCTCAAACATAGCCATAGGAAAGGCCCCTGCCACCGGTACCAACGAGAATACCTAGGTACTTATACTCGTCACTGATGCCAATAGAATCCATGGCTGCGCCCCTGCCGTGGAATCTCGTTTGCGACGCGAGATACCACTTCTTGGATTTTCCATCAATTTGCTGGCTCAGTGAACGGCACTTTCCTGCGTTGACCCTCAGGCCACTGCCACTCAAGGTGTCACATATAACGTCTATCAACGCCTGAAGGCCGGCCGGCGTCTCCGCTGCCACGACCAAATCATCAGCAAACGCTAGTACGGACACCTTTTCCTCCCCCCGAATCCCCAGCTCCAGTTTCTTCGCATTGTGATTGCCTCATCAATCACCAAATTGAAAAGAAATGGGGACAAGGGATCTCCCTGTTTAACTCCTCTAGTCACAGGGATTACCCTCGATTTCTCCTTCTGGCTGGATATGACAGTCGAGGTGCCATCATAGCCTTACATAATATAGTCCCTAAGAGGCTTAGGGACTAACTTGCGCTCCATGGCACGATCTATGGCCGCATGGTCGACACTATCGAATGCCTTCTCCATGTCAAGGAACGCAAGATGCGCCGGATGTTTCAGCACACGTGCCTCAGATAGAAGAGCATCTAGGATCGCCAGGTTTTCAGCGCATCCATCCACAGGGATGAATGCCTTCTACCTCCTGTCGATTCTGATTGCTCGAGAAACTCGGCTGTTCACGATCTTATGGAACAGCCGCACTATTGTTGAAGACATTGTAATGGGGCGATAGTGTGAGGGGGTTTCTGGCCTAGGAATCTTGGGTATCAGCATCGTTTTGCATGACGGAAAGGACGTGGTAGGGAACGGCTAGCTAGCCAGCCACAGATTGAACAGTTTAGTGAGCACCCTGAGCGGTATGGACCTGAGAAGACGCATAGTTACCCGTCAGGACCGGGTGCAGAGACCTTACTTGTCCGTAGAGCGATCTGGACCTCCATAGGTGATAATGGGCTCTAACAATTGCTGAACGGCAGGACCAGAGCCGCGCTCAATAGGCCGGTTGTCCGGCGGCGAGGGCCTGGAAAAAAGGTTCACCCAGAACTCAAAGGGGCGATTAGGCTCCACCTCGGAGGGTGTAACCCTCCAGTCTCCGGAGGGGACATGCGCCGCTGCCGAATGTTGTTGTTGTTGTTAAAGCTTTAGCTACTCAGGACGAAGTGTCCATGTAGCACGGGCTATGGTGAGCCCGTAATTGAGTTTGGTTATACATAATAACCTTTTTCCTGTGATATTTGGGTCTAAGTTTAAAATGGAGGAGAGGACTTCTCCTTTTCCCCTGCTTATTTATCGCTTCTGTTTTAGTGCACTGGTTTTAATCTTGTTTTATTAACATTATCTTGGTGGCGGATGTAGATGCAGAATGCTCACTAATGAGTCCCATTCCTCAACAACTTTTCTAATAATTGTAGTCGCGGTGGAATGTGCATCTAATGCAGCTGCTGTCGTTGGATTAATATCGAGTTTGATGCGCAGGGGTTCAGTAGCTTCACATTCCAGTAAGTAGTGCAATAGCGGCGCCTCTGCTTCAGTTTCACAGATGTGACACTCTTTAACTGTTGGGTTCATTACCACCCAGCAGCACTTGTAACCAAGTCTGAGTCTGTGTATGGCTACTGCAATGTCTCTGGATATCTTTTTGCCAGGCTTGAAAGAGGAGTAACCAGTGGCTTGTTCGTACCAGATCGCAGTGGATCTTCCTTCCGCTACTTTGGCTCTGTGGCGACTCTTGATAGTTGAGAATATTTTCTTCTTGATTTGCTCCTTTATCTGTGAGAAACTTGGAGGTATTTGAACCTGTACAACAGGTAGAGCAGTGGCAGTTTTTGCTAGTGAGTCTGCTTTTTCATTACCACCTATGCCAATGTGACTTGGTATCCAATTTAGGGTGATTGACAGCCCTCGATTATGGGCATCTTTTCCTATATGTTGAATTTCTGTGAGGAGTTGTATATTATCTCTGTGCTGACTAGATAACAATGCCTGGAGCGAAGATTTAGTCTGTATGAATGATGACATCATGTAAATTATTCTCAATTGTATAGTTCATTGCCTCCTTCAGGGCATATAATTACTTTCGCTGCCGAAGATCTGTTCTTATTATATAGCAGGACTATGGAGCAGTCCTCATCGGAGTCGTCCAGTGAGGAGGAAACTCTGCCTAGCCCATCGAGTAGTGGGGGGGGGGGGTTAAGTGGTGACAGGTCTTTGGCGGTGAGGGACCTTGGCGCCAATGGAACCCTCCACCTCCTCACCCCGGCAGAACCCGGGGGATGCCTGGAGGACCACTATTGTGGAATTCTTGGCTTCCATAGATCCCAGAAAGCCAGGTAGTGGGTGGGGCGAGGATTTCCTCGATGAAGCAATCTCCAACTTGTTTGGAGGTAACGGCCATAATGCGATAAGGATCCTCGAGCATCATGCGCTCGAGGTGACTTCTGCCACAAGATCCGGTGATCGCACATCACGGTGTGCTCCTGGCCGCAGACAGAGACCTCCAGGGATCAGCCGTAGCAACCAAGACCCGGCTCCGACCGGCCGAAAAAGGGAGCGCTGGGCACAGTATAATCTGTGCCAAAGCCTATATAATAACAGATCTCGTGTATATCAAGGATCTGTTCTATATCATAACAGATCCTTGACTCGCCACACACTCGTCCCGCTCTGCACTCCACGCTATTACACAGATCACATTTTCCATGGAGATCGAACTTAAAAGTTTGTCCTTCAGACAAGACGCATATTACTTAAAACGTGGTTGGTGTAAGCCACATCTCGGTTACCACTTCAGAGACCTCATTGTAATGTGCAACCGTATTTTTTTATATATATATTTACATGCAAAAGCATGCTACAAAAAACAATAAAAACAAGACAAATAAACAGACCTACAGTAAAATTACAAAGTAACAGAACAAGAAGCCCCAAACCCAACACACACATGAATCACACACATAAGAACATATGGATAAAGGTAACTGCAGAAGGCCTATTGGCCCATACGAGGCAGCTCATATTTATGACCACCCAATCCCACTCAAAGTCCAACCCACGCTTGAAACAATCAAGGGACCCCACCTCCACCATGGTACGTGGTAATTGGTTCCACAAATCAACAACCCTGTTACCAAACCAGTATTTACCATTCTTTTTAAAATTTAAACTTGTACAATTTATACCCATTTAAGTACATAGTATTTACATGACATAACTTCATTTACAAGGTTATCAGTACATGGCAACAAATACATACAGAAAGAAAATACACAAGGCTGTCCGAACCGGACACCAAATCACCCACACTATGCGTTCATTACATATTTACAATAAAAACAAAAGCCTGGAAGGCCCACGACATACACATGAAATAAGAATGACTACACATGTCTGGAAAATCAGCCCTAGGAGACCTTGTACAATACGCCTCCCATACCACCCAGTCACCCCGAGTAAGGCGGCGGCGTAGGGTACTGCATAAAGTCTGGAATACCGCAGTTAAAACCTTGCACACTTTGCACTCACACATGCGGCAGGTTCACGGATCCCAGCAGCACTGACGAACTTGCAAGAGGCTGTGGTACAGGGGGTCGAAGCCGCCGAGGGCATTAACTCTGCCGCTGCACATTGGACCACGGGACGTGGCGAAAAGCAAAGCAGCTCGCCCAGTGCACATCCATCTTGAGGACCACCACTAGGTCACGGGCCTCACCAGACACCACAGGAGTGGGCACCACCTCCCATTCCAAGGTGCCCACAGCAAGGGGCATGGGGGCACACAGGACTAAACGCAGAACCCCCAACATCTGCGCCCACGTCCTCCACATAG